TTTTTTTTTTAAACTGATCCCTCCAGTGCTAGCGATGCTGATAAGAGCAGATTGGTCTTGTAGGCATGAGGAAAATTTGTTTCTTTTTGTATTGTTCATCTAAGTATGCATGAGGCTAATTTGTCTTACTAGGAGTGAGGTTTCAGGACAGCGGCCTTGTGCTTGGTCAATTCTGTTCCTAGATATTCCTCAGACTCCTAAGGTTTGGTACATTGAGCTATTTGCTTGTAAGCAAAACAGGGTACCGCTCCCAGGATAACCCCGGGGTGAATTGTGAGGTCCCCGGCCTCGATTCAACCTGTTATAATACATCGGTATCTTTTGCACAAACAAAAAAAAAGAAGAAAGAGTTGGGGCCTTGGCCTTATGCAATCAGGCCTTCGAAAAATGTTGGCAAGTTCCAGGGCACTTTGCAAACTTAACCCACCACTACTTGGCCCAGCTATGTGCCGCGGAAGAAAATAGAGTAGAAACGTTTCTAGTTGGATGAATTTGTAGGCTTCTGTAGTGACCCGTACGTTTCCTAAAATTGTGGCACATTAATGGGCACAACTTTAGGAAGTACTGGTTAAACCACCAGTACTTGGCCCACCTATCGATGTCGAGCAGGCCAACCCCCTGCGCGCCAAGTTTTCCCGAACCGCCGTTTCAACTTTGTTTTGGCTGGCACTTCCAGCCATTGAGGTCTGGTACCCCGAAGCCCGGAAGTTGCGGGCTGTTAACGACAACGGCGCGCCAAGTTTTCCCGAACCGCAGTTTCAACTTTGTTTTGGCTGGCGCTTCCAGCCATTGAGGTCTGGTGCCAACCCCCTGCACGCCAAGTTTTCCCGAACCGCCGTTTCAACTTTGTTTTGGCTGGCGCTTCCAACCATTGAGGTCTGGTACCCCGAAGCCCGGAAGTTGCGGGCTGTTAACGACAACGGCGCGCCAAGTTTTCCCAAACCGCAGTTTCAACTTTGTTTTGGCTGGCGCTTCCAGCCATTGAGGTCTGGTGCCCCGAAGCCCGGAAGTTGCGGACCATTAACGACAACGGCCCACGGCCGATGTATGGGCCAAACACTGGTGGTTTAAAATACCCGGTAGGGGTCTATTGCAAAGATGGGCGGTCCAACCGACAAAAAGAAAAAAAATGGGGCATTCCACTCTATTCAGATCTTTTACGGGCATTTTGCCATATATCTCAACACATGGGGGTATTTTACCGGATTCCAGTGCAAATTATCCCTTTTTTTTTCCCGCGCTTGTCTCTCTCTCTCTCTCTCTCTCTCACACACACACACACACACACACACACACACACGATGAAATGCAAAAGAGAATGAATCTTCCGCAAAAAGGCAGGAAGGTTCGTTCTTGTTTCGAATGTTCGCTTCTCTCTCTCTCTCTCTCTC